TAAAAGGAAACCCTAAACTATGTTATCTATTGTACCAATTGCGATGGCATTGTGGCCATAATTGCGAGAAACTTGGGCGCAGTTATGCGTAACTGTGATTTTTCCCCCGTAACTACGCGTAACTGCGATTTTTTCATCGTAGTTGCGCGTAACTACGTCGCAATTACGGGTCACAGTGCGATCGCAGTTTCATCGTAATGAAACATATGGGTGTAAGCTTCTCAACCTCTATCCAGTTTGTCTTAATACATCAACTAAACAGAGTCCCATATTTATCGTTACAAATAGGAATATATTAACCATGTCTACAATCATTTTAATATGGCATTTCATAAAATCTCTTGAAACAATTCAAAGTTCAATGACCCAAAATCAAAAACAATCTTAATTATAAACGGGAAAATGAAAATGAAAACGAGATGAATTAAAGTGTTGTTTGTTAATTTTTACTACTCTCCATAGAAATCGAACTGATGATACGTATATGAATCATGAGTTTATTAGTAAAAAATGAGAAGAAGAAGAACATACGTACAAAAACAATTATCAAGCAAAGCAATAACAATTATCAATTAAAATGGGTATCACGTATGAAATGTTTTCATCATATTCTATGGAATAATAACATTGTCGAATTTATTAACTCTTTTTTCTTATAAAATCAAAGCAAATTTACTTTGTATTATACATCATGAAAAATGGTATATCAACCAGAATGTTGATTTGATCTAAACATTTTCCTTTTCTTGAAGATTGATTTAAAAAGACCTAGTTCTATAAGCAATTGTACTAATATCTTAATTATAATTCGTTAATGCTCTTGCTTGTTTATTTAATCAAAATCGAAAATTTTTAAAGAACATTTTATTTGATTTCATTAATAGATTTCCTTGCGTGTATCGTTTGGTTGATAGTTTAATGACAAAAAGGTCAATAAAAAAAAGGAGAAAAGTTGAGCGACAAGTAGCACTTCGATCATCAACTAGAAAAATAAACAAAAGCGATAGGAATTTTGCTGATTTATTTTGAATACGTATTCGTTTTTTTTTATTCTACAGGAGATAAAATTTTATTATTTAAACGAAAATCAATTAATTTATATACATTCACATTACATATTTTATCATCGTAGACAAAACAAGTTCATGTTATTTAAAAATCACTTGACTGATTGGAATAGTGAGAATTATGGTAAAACGATTAATCTCATTGAATTTTGTCTAGTCTTACGTCAGCTATGTTGATTTGACAATGATCTTATTCTCGTTCAGAGCAGTTTCATGAATTCCTCAAAATACAAACGAACAGAATTAGAACAAAAAATTATTCAAAATGAGGCACAGATGAACAATTGAACAGTGTCTTGGATTCGAGTCAAAAAACGATCTATACTTCTATATGTTTCCAATGATGAAAAATAAAGAAAGAAGTTTTTCGAATATACTATTGTTGGTAGAATATTTTGATATTTTATTCAGTGAACTAAACCGAGATGAAGTGATCCTTTTATTTCCAAAAAAATCCTTTAAAAAAGAAAGTAACAGTTGTGAAATGTATCCTCTAATCAATTGTCAGAGATAAAAATACACAAATATACAAGAAATGAAACTCAATGATTTCATTATTTTATAGAAAGAATAAGGAAGTGTTATTAGAATTATTTTTTTAATTGAAAACAGCGTCGACTTACTCTAGTCGAACATCTTGTAAGCAAGATCTGGGAATCTTGGGATCGGTAAGTAAGATCTTATTAAGATCTTAAAAATATAATTTGTATGTACACATCTTGGCTGTATCAAATAAATCTGTACTTAAGATCTTGGCCAGATCAGGGAAAAAATATCGTGTACTATTATCTTCCGATAAAATCTTGAGCGAAACAGAAAGCGACATCATTAGTGTATTTACATGCTCTCTAGTCATTCACCGTTTTTTAAATGCATTCACAGCTGTATATTAACAGCATGATTGAACATACGAAATACAAATTTTCAAAAAATTTTTTTTCTCAACTATTTCTCGATTATTCGAGAGAATGCTAATCTCGATTGATGATCGAGAGAGGACTTCCCTAATTGGTCTGACGAATATCGGACCAATTTATAGCCAGTCAGATCCCAACATCTGACTTGCTGGAATTCGGAAGAGGAATAATTAAAATGAAAATAAATTGAAAAAATATTGAAGAATGCAGCAGGTATTATTTTAGTGTGCATCCAAGATTTAATGGATTCTTATGTAAGATCTGTAATTAGATCTCGGGGACAAGATGATACAATTATCTTGTACCCGAATTTCCAAGATCTTGCTTACAAGATGTTTGTCTAGGGTAAAATACATGAATTATTTGTATCGAAGAAGCTTAAGATGAAATTATTTCTTGTAAATATTTTTGATCTTGGATCATTAATTGTTTGTTACTCCGCTGCATCAATTGACATTGCTTTAGGATATTTTGAAATAGTTTGTGTTAAAACAAATAATTTGGAAAGTTTTTTTAAATAATGATAAATTTGTTTTTGTGTATTATTTGTCAATGAAATATTTTGAAAAAACTGATAACTCGATACCCATAGAGTCTTCAATATGATTCAACAAGTTGATCAAGTTCTTCAAGTATTTCATTTACAATTAATTGAACCATTTGTTAAAAGATATTCTAAAGCTAATTGGCGAACTTTTGAACGAAGACGTTGGATCAACACCTGTACTTTCGCCATGAACTGGAGTAACAGGACAAGTATGTGGATTTGATTCATGTTGTAATGATATTTCACTAAAACAAACTCAGAACAGAAATAAAAAGATATTTATTTCGATTTATTTTTTTCTTGATAATCCATATATTGTTGATGAGTATTTGATGAAGATGGAGAAATGTAATTACCTGGTTGAGGAGAAGCATAAGTTGATGGGTGCGTATGGGTGTTGTATCTTAATCGAACCCACATCCACACACCCACACACGCACCCGCACGATGTAGATTGATGATATACTACTCTGGACTTTCATGATCCGCTAGAATAATTATACAGATATTCAAGGTACTCCGAAAATTTTCTTACGTGGCTCCACAATAGAATATTGTGGATAGAATAATAATTCTCAACAATATGAGCGAGTCAAAGACAAAACTGCTTTTACAATAATTGATAAGTTGTATTTGTCATCGACATAGAAAGATCTTATCGACAACAGTCTTGCCTATATGAAAGTAATAAATTGTTTAATTCCTACACAATTCAAGTGGATTTTATTATTTTCCGATTCGAATCCACGTGATGTCATAAAATATATATTTATCTTTAAGTAAAAACAATATTCTATTACACTATCAGACTAGATACAGATGCGATTCTACTGTATTCAAGCAGCACTGAAGAAACTTTGGCCATTTGTATGAAAAATAAAGCTTTCTAAGCAAACGATCGATAAATAGTACGGCCATTGAGTGGCATCACCGGTCGAAAATTTCTAGTAATAAATTCATTCGTTGTTTTGTCAGTTTTGCATGTTTGTTTCAATTGTCGTAATTGATTCAGCTATGAAGATTAATTTCAAATAATTTTTAAAAGAAAGCTCACTTCCCTAATGAAACATCTTTGTAAGCAAGATTTGGAAATCTTGGGATCGGTAAGTAAGATCTTATCAAGATCTTAAAAATATAATTTGTATGTACATATTTTGGTTGTATCAGATAAATCTGTACCTACGATCTTCGCAAGATCATGGAAAAGATATCGTTTACCATTATCTTCTTACAAGATCTTGAATAAAACAGAACGCGACATCATTGGTGTATTTGCATGGGCTATCTAGTCATTCACCGTTTTTTTATGCATACAGAGCTGAATATAAACAACATGATTGAACATGTGAAAACGTAATTTTTCAAAATAAGTTTTTTTTGTAAACTCCCAGGTGAAAGAAAACGACCCGTAGACGGCCTAAAACGGCATAAAAACGATGTAAACTGTTAAAAAACGGCGCCGTTTTCCGTCAGCTCGGAAAACGAAGAGAATAGTGTTAAAAGCGATGACCGTTTTCTAGCAAAAAAAACGGCCCGTAAAACGAGCTGATGGATTACGGCGAAATAGGGTAAAAATTGATGCCGTTTTATAGCCGTTTCAGACCGTTTCCGATGGCCTTTCAGACGGCAGGACGATCCTCCTGGGCTGTCTCTCGATTATTGATTATTCGAGAGAGAACTACCCTAAATTGGTCTGGCGGATATCGGACCAACTTAAAGCCGGTCAGATCCCAACATCTGACAGCAGTGTTCAAGGACTGAGAACTAGGAATTCCTAATGTGCCGAGGAACTGTCAGTGTCGCTCTAATAATTCCTAGAGGAAATGGGAATCAACTATAGGTTCCCGCACAGTTCCACCATTCACGAAAGTTGCGATATTGCTGTTTTAAAAATGATTTTTGCATGAAGCCATTGATTCTCACAATTTCGTTACAAGTGAAAATGAGTGTAAGAACAAAAATTATCGTGAATATTCCATATTTTTATCTTTAGTATGCAAGGAACTGTGGAGGAACTGATGAGGAATTCCTAATCCTCAGTTCTTGGACACCCCTCTATATTGTACCTAAATTTTCAAGGTCTGTTCACTTATCTGTACCCAAAATCTTACTTACAAGATGTTTCACTAGGGTTCTTCCCTCTTACTTGGTATTTGGAAAGGCCGATTATATCTCGAAAGACAACCCAACGAACACACTCATTACACATGGGAGTTGTTAACGAACCATCATATGTGTAATATTTTTGTATATGTTCTTTTTCATTGAATTTATGAATTAAATTTTAACTGTTAAAAACAAAATATCTTACCTGGCATTAAATCCCTCAATGAAATAATACCATAATCGAGATTTATTTTTTCTCCTCGATGTGTAATTTTTGAGAAAAGATCAAATAATTTAATACAATCCGAATTATTATTTGGTATGATCTAGAATAAACTTTTAGAGAAAAGAAAACGCCTTTGTCTAAAATTGAACTTTTATTAAAACAGCAAACACCATTAAACCATCGAATTGTTCAGATGTCATAGCTTCCTCTGGAGTTCGATATTGCGTTCGATTCCATGTTACAATGTGTAACTATAAAATATGTAAAGGTTAGATTTTCGAGAAGAAAAATTCGATTTTCGCTATACTTCAGCTGGTAGACGAACACCATCGATAATATGTTCTGAACCTTCGTTATCGTTTGCTCCCCAATGCATATGAAATTGTAAAAATTGATATTCATCCAGTACAGGACCCCGTGTAATATCTATGAAAAATAGTGTGTTAAGCGTAAAGCAAAATGAACAATATTTACAACTATAGCCTTGGCCGGATACTTGAAATGAATGGCCAGTATTTTCAAGTGTTTGACAACAATTTAAATCCGTTTCAAATATAAACGGATGTCGAGCAAGCAGAGGATCATATTCACATAGGTCCGTATAGATTCGTATGGGCGATTGAAACTTTTTATCTCGCAATTGAGGAAACATTCGGCACCACATTGTCGGTCCTGTTCATATTAAAGATAGATGCATGCTATGATCTGCTTGTAAACTAGAATTACCGCGTAATATAGAATAATCCCATGGTAATGGGGATATTTTACATTTTTCTTCTGTTGTAGTTTGCCTATTATGATTGTTAAGTCGATGAGTAACAGATGTGGAACGTCTAGATGTTTTTTTCTGTGATCGACGAACTTCGATTTCATAGTCACCCATTTCAATGAGTATCGATGCGAAGTGACTCGATTCTTTGTGATCCTATGGCATTAGTTTAGATCGGTTAATTTTTCATTGTCATAGGTAACTTACTGGTTTTAATTGTTTTAAACTAATAGCGATTTGATCATCACCAGATGAAACGAACAATGACGATCGATCTCGAGTACTATCTGTTGTCATATTTGTTTAGATCAATTTTTGTATTAAATCATCGATAAATCTCAAGCTTTACAATCTTCTTCTTCTTGTTTTTATATAAGACGAAAGATATTATTAGCTTTCTATCTATACCGATGCTTATTTTTCTCCTATGAAGCAAATGCACATGATTCTTTATATTATTCTAAAAGATAAAAAAAATGAGCTATCCTGGTAAGTAGACTTCCTATGCTTTTAAATAACTAATTATTTTATTCAGATGATAGCAAAAAAGGAAAAACAAGGTTATTACAACTACTCACACAGCCAGTCTTTCAAAATAATAGACATATCGATGGCATATTTTCCAATAGAAATGCAGTGTATTCAATTACTTGATCATGCATCATATTTTACATATAATAGTGCGTTTTTTTAATGTCAATTCATTGTAAGTCACGAATATAGTAACACATTATCATGTAATTGCACGTATTATTTTTCCATAATTCATTTTGATATGTAAAGAATCTCATTCATTCTGCTCGTATTATTAGAACTCTATTTTTACGTTATTGAAAAAGTACTGGTCGAATTCAGCCTTGCAAAGTTTTAGATTTCAGTATCATTTTGTGCACTTGCTTAATGCCAAGCAGAAAAAGCTTAATCTTATAATGGTATCGAAATCTATTATTCATCGGGGTCTCGAATGTATCAGTTGAAATTAATCAGAGTTGGACAAAATACTCTAGGTACTCGTGCTCGAGTACGATTTTGCTCGTACTCGTACTCTAGGGGTCTGGTACTCGTGCTTGGAATTTTATCAAAAATTTCAGTGAGCGCATTCTTTATGGAAAAAAAAGCGACAGAAAGAATATCTAATTTGGTTCCTTCAAGAAAGAAGAGCACAACTGATATTTTCTTTGCGGACCGCAAGTTGCGGTTGACGCAAATATGTTGATAAGTATTTGTACGACATAAAATTGTATGGTCGTCACCATACTTCAGTCTTCCTATCCTCTTTTCTTAATTTTTTTATTTACTGTCCATTAATAGCGCTGTTCATACGATTTTACTTTTTATCAAAAAACATTTTTATTCTTGTTTATATCAACTTAGCTTAAAATACCTGTCAGTGCCAGCGACATCGGCTCTCATGGAACGAGTATTTTCTCAAAGCGGTTTTCTTATGCGACCTGTTCGAGTATCATTAACTGCAAAAAATGTTTGTTTACTCACTTTTCTTAAATGTAATGAGTTTTTTTGTTATGATTTAATTGCTTTGAGCACGACAATAAAATATAATACTAGTCATGTTTTGATATTTTGCTCTTATAATAAAGGGCAATCCAAAAGTTTTGGTACTTCATATAAAAATTTTATTTTCTCCCTTTTCTGCAAATCAAAAAATTTTTACACTTGGATATATAATAGCTTGCAACTAGGTGAATATTATCCTAAATTTTCACACGTCTAGTTCTCACTTACAAAGAAGATTTATACACTCAAATAATAGTGTGGATCTTTTTTCCTATGACGTGGTAAACGTTTTATTGATAAAAACATCTAGAATAATTAATTTTTATCATAAATACAACAACCAATAATACAATATATTATATTTTTATACGTTGTCATAGTCTTTTTTGTTGATGGAATAGCCGTTTTTCTTAATTAAAGCTTGTAGTCGTCTGGGTATTGAGTTGATCCATTTGGAACACATTGCCGGAGTGATTGTATTCCAGATTGTTACAATTCTTATTTTTAATAATGATACATTGTTCAAATTCTTCTTCTTCTTCTTCTTCTAATTTCTCTTTAATATAACCCCATATGCTTTCAATGGGCCATATATCAGACATTTTGCTAGCTTGTTCTACAGGTTTAAAACGTCCGTGAAAATCTAATTGATTTTTCAAAGTAACTCTATTTATCATCATTCTCCTAATATTATTCTATATTAATCAATTCGTTTTATTTGTTTTCCTTTTTCTTCTTTTCCTTAATGGAGATCGAAACTATTCAAACTTTACCACGTCATAGGAAAAAGGATCCACACTATTATTTGAGTGTATAAATCTTCTTTGTAAGTGAGAACTGGAAATGTGAAAATTTAGGATAATATTCACCTGGTTGCAAGCTATTATATATCCAAGTGTAAGAATTTTTTGACTTGCAGAAAAGAGAGAAAATAAAATTTTTATATGAAGTACCAGGACTTTTGGATCACCCTTTATTTTATTTTGACATGTATATATAGTACGTTGTAAAATATTAAGTCTATTTTTCGTTGAAACTAATTCGAAAAATTCTAGTCTTACCGATACCATGGTATGGATACTTGTACTCGAAGTACTAGTACTCGGCTGGCCTCGGATTTGTCCTATATTTTCTATATTAAAAAAAAATTCCTATTATTTCTCCTATTTTTCGATGAATTTTCCTGTATTTCCTATAAAAATGAAAAAAAAGTAGAAAATTGCTAAAAAATGCTCTTGTTGTAGTATAATTTTCGCGTTTTTTAAATAAATCTATTCGATAATTAATGATTCTTTTGTATTCTTCGAAGTTTTTACAGGGATTCTATTTGATTTACGATTTCTTTTCACATTATCAAACGAACTAAATGAGAATAACTGACTATTTTAAGTAAAGATATTCAAACAAAGTAAAATAGTCTTTATAAATAGTTGTGTATTTTTTAAAAGCTTTTATTGCTGTCTATCACATGCAGTTACGTAAATGGTTTTGTCCGAGCGTAACGCTGTGACTTTTTGACACAACTTGTCATGATATGTTTATGCCATAATATGACCATTTTCGGATTAAGTCTCTATCTTATAAAGAGGAGTTTTGGTTGCGTGAGTGTGACATAATAAGACACTTTTCTTCAGGGCCACTAATAAGCTGCAATTTCTTCTGCAAAAAAACGAAATCGATACATCCACAGGGCATGGAAGCTCATAAGCGGTAAATTGAGTTAGAAAATGTATACGAGTCTACATTTTCCGTAGCTAAGAATGTCAAAACAAAATAGACCACCTAGTAGAGACTGAAATTCTACAACTAATGATCTGCCATTGATATTTTTGAAAACGTTTCTTGGTTTAAAAGCTCAAAATGTGATTTTTTTGAAAATTTTAAAACTCGATTTGAGTGTAGGCTAATGTGAGTTTAAACCCAATACGAACCATTACCCACACCCTGACTTAATTTTTATTAATTTATGAATATGTAAATTAACATATTTCGATTAAATTTAATTGTGTCTGACTCATTTAATTTAATTTAAGAAAGAATTAAAATGAAATGTTGACAAACATTTAGTACATATGTTAATTTGATGCAGGAAAAGTTAAAAACAACGTTGAATTCAAATCTAAACAACGAATTTTCAATATCCTATTTTTTCTGATTTTTTTTATAGCGTTCCTGTATTTTTAAAAAGTTTGATCCTGTGCTAATTCCTACGTTTTCAAAAACTTTCAATCCGAGGCTAGCGTACTCGAGAAAGTCTGTACTTGCCCAGCTCTGAAATTAATGTTTTTTTAAACTTTAACATAGACTTTATTCAAGCCGATTGACTCCAAGTATAAGTTCATAGTAACTTAAGAAGATCTCGAGAATCACTGTTACTAACACTTGAAATAGGATGAAGTACAGAAATTTCTTCTTTTAAAGCCATGACTAAATTCCTATATCAAAATCTGCACAACTACAACATTAAATTTATGTTCGTATGTGAGTGTGGGCTCATTGTGAATCAACGTCTGCCTACTTGGAACCAGAGCTCCGCAAATGGCACTAACATTTTTCGACAGGATCCTTATTCTTTTTCAGTTATAAACGCCAAAAGGTTGAATTTCATTTAAAAACATCTGTGCAACAAAATTATGAAAAAACAAGCATAGATAGGTTTTTAAAAAATGCTTACTCAACGCGGTATATGTAAGACAACAGTTCGTTCGATCCGGAGCTCTGTTTGATGTTTACGAATAGATGCAATGATCATTTATTAAAACATCTTTCTACACATGCACTGTGCCTTATATTATTATTCAAATATCGTTCGTAACCGACCCATAATAAATCTTTGATTATGATTACTATACAGATTTATTATATTACGATAGAATAGAGCCGTACTTGCTCATAAAACATTCGTTTGAATAGAGATCGTTATGAATAAATATAGTTTTTATGGCAAAAAATGCGATTTTCATGAAGCTATATGTCGTATTAAATATTACGCTTTTATGAAAACAAAAATGCTTAGTTTCTCTATTATTTATTCATAATCAACTATACGGGTGATTTTATGAATATTAAAAAGCTTTTTGTTTAATTTCAATTTAGAAGAAAAAAGAACTTCACATGTTTCTTTTATTTTCTCAAATTGCTGAAAGAACAGAAAACACACACATATAATGTTTCTCCTCTATGATATATTGTATTATTTTTGTTATGAAATGTAACTAGAAAACAAACGAAAAAGAAAAGAAGGATTGTTAACAACAATCAGTATTTTTTCATTTGAAAAATAGTGACTTGTTCTTTTTCGTCTATGAACGAAATGGGATTATTAAAATGTGAGAATAATGTACACAGATATTGTCACTGACAGTCAATCGGCAGCCACATCACCTACCAGACATACAACACATAAACAGGTAGAAGTACGAAGACACGCACGATAGTAATTTTGTTTCACTATTTGATTTCTTTAGATTATCAACTGACAATAGAGCAACAATGTCAAAAAACAATCAATTGTCAGTTCGCGGTGAAAATGCATCCGCTGATCATCGGCACCGTTAGTTATTTGGTTGAATACTTAGTTAAATTTTTCTCCATCTAATTATTTTCTAGTACATGAAAAGAGACGTTCCCATTCACAACTTGGCATTAGAGAAAATGTACGATCGGCTTCACAACATACACCACATCCAACATGTAATATTAATTCCTTCCATTATTATCATTCAAAAATGTTGAGTATTTTAGTAACGGCTTATTGTGCACATTGTAAACTCCCATTATTAATTGATGTTACAACGCAAGACACAACAAATAAATCTCGTGTATTGGTACGTTAAAAATTTCGACCGTGAATATGCTCATTTAACTATTCATTTCTTCTATATCTAGTCTTCACGTAGTAGTCAACGTGTATGCAACGGCTGCAATGAAGAAAAGCCCAGAAGTGCCCGTACTGCATCAAGTCGTTTGTATAAATCAGCATCTGTTGATTGGACCAATGTAGGTGATAAAATTGGTAAGATCTCCTGTGAATTTTGTTGCTTCCTTTCTATTTATCGATCATACTTTTGTAGAAACATGGTTCGAAACTGCACGTACACCAGGTATATAATTGTATCGAGATACTTTTTTTCGCAAAAGATACTCCATCGATCAGTTTAAAATTCGTATAGTTTCATATTTTGTCTATCGCAGTTTTTTAATTGTCATAACAAGAATTTTTCAACTAAAAAACTGCCGTACAGTGCGATTAGAAATTTTATGAAAACAAAAATTTTCTCCACCATAATATCTTCTCTCAAGATATTTAAAATGCGTGACTATCTATTCTACTAGACAGATTTTATTTTTTTGTAAAAAATTCATTAGAGTGTAGATTACATATAGGAAAATTTTCACATGGAACCGCAGAAAAAAAGCTTACCTGAAATGTCACCGCACTATGCGTCAATAATTAAAAATCCCTTGAATAAAACACGCTGTAGGCAAAGTAGAAGTTAGGGCTAAGTTTACCTCTCAAAAAAGAAAGAAAGAAGATTTACAAAATCTTTATAAGCAGAAAATGTATCGAATTTTTAGAACTCCTGTTATTTAATCTTTACAAATATGAGCCCATGCAATTTAGCAAGCACGTCTCAAGTCGCTCTAGGTTATTTATCTATTTAAGGAAGATATGAATGAACGTCAGAAGAATGACTAAAGCTGCAAAATATGATGGTAAAATTAATCTTTGAAGGAGAATCGAACTTAATACTAAATTAAACACAGATAGAAGTTTTCTTTAGAAAAAAAGTTAGCGTTCAGTTAGCCAAATCGATTGAACGCTTATAGTTACCTCTATTGATGTAACCAAATCTTCAACGCGTGTAAAAAAATATTTATACCTTTATGTGGGTTGTTTTCGTAATTACCGTATTTTCTATGCCTTGGTAACAGATATATAAGATGTTATGACACAAATAAGGCTTCTATTGTGCGTCTTTTTTTATCCTTCCTGTTGTTCTTGACAGTAATATATTTCCCTCTTTTTCTATTCTACGTGTCGTTCAATTCTTAACTTTTGTCCTTATCATGCCACTTGTTAATACAATTTCAAGAGCTATTCTTTTATGAGAAAGTATGGTAAAAGTATGTAATTGAATCATCCTAGGATTTCGTTTTCTTTTGTATATCTGGTTCTAACACATTTATTTTTATAGAACAACGGGTTGTTTACAAGTTTTTGGAAAAAATAAATAATCATGAACAAGAAAAACAACCGGAAAGACCAGTTGTTTCACCAGAAGGAAAAGGTCTTGATGAAATCTTGACAAATCTAAAAAAGTAATTTCAATTCGGGAAGTTTTTCTTTTTCGATAATTATGTAAAAAACGATTTCTTCATAGATATCGTGCTCGCTTTAATTCATCTAATCCTCAAAAACGTTTTCAACGTTCATTTGAATCAACAAGTTGGCGTGTTATGCGTCATCCATCGACGTCACCTGGACAATATAGCCGTTTTAATCCTGTTTATGGTGATGATGCTTCACGAGATTTTCGTATTGGGACAACTTTTGCAACAACAGAACCAAGAATTGGTTCAACATTTTTATTACATCCTGGTTGGGTTTAAACAAACAAAATCAATATGAACACTTTTTTCGAACAATTTATAAAAAAAAGCGACATTTTTTATCATAATTTATACATTAAATTTTTGCAAGTAAAGAGCGGGCCCGATTGAGTAACCCACTTGGCCGATTATTATCTTTTCGAATAAACTCTATATAATTGTAGGTAAAGCATAATGAGAAAGTTGTTGTTGTATACGGTTTTCTAGTGAAAAAAAAACAGGATGTAATTCATAATATTAATGGTAACATGATTTTTATTAAATCAGGCTATTTAAGATGATGCACGCACCCAGAAGCGCGTAATGATCAAAAGGAAGCAATTCTTGAGTCAGTCGAAATCCGATACAAAATGTAATGAGAAAATTTTTCTGCGGTGAGAAATCCACAAGAAAAAGGATGTCGATTTCAAGTTCACCAAGTAACGAAGAACTATTGACTTGAGTGGGCAGGAAGTATGTGAATATCATTAGTCTGATGACAGTGACCAAAATTATATAATTAATCACAAGATCAGTCCTGTCTAAATTGAAAATTTTTTTTCACTTGATTGATTATTCCGTAAGACGATAATCATGAACTCTGCTATGAGAAAAACTTAAGTTATGCTAAGAAATCTTCAATTCTTCGAAAATAATAATTGCACTCAAGTTCCTTCGGCTTTGGAAAAAAACTAAGGAGTTTTGCACACCGAAAAACAAATTTTGAAATACAAAACCTTAAAAGAGTTTCGTATATGCTACGAAACCCTTTTTAGGTTTCGTGTAGCCTGAATTTTCATATTTATATTGTAAATCATATAATAATCAATTTAAAAAACAAATCACTTTCGGTATGCTTCAAAAACTTTTATATTTAAAAAAAAACAATGTTTTACTTGTATTTTTCTTATCAAACACTAATGCAAATATACAAAACAATTTTTTTTTATCAAAAATGATAAAGTCCTAATTGACTTGGTCGGATTGTTCTTATCAGAATAGATCTTTGATTAGTGCCAAATTCAATGGCATTTTTAATTCTATAATCACAATCAATTGGAAACCATACTTGTTGTTGTTCACGTTGATTATATTCACGCTTATTATCAATAAAGAAAAATGATTGCTTTTCACATGTTGTCAATAACCATACATGCGACATATGTATTGATGATATCGAATAAATATTTATATTAGGAAATAATATTCGTTCCAATAATTTAAATGTATTTGATCCATAATGTTTATAAGTCATTAGACATCTACGATTATTCGATGTACGTACAATCGCCGTTAAAATTGTATATTCAACTGAATGAAATCGTATTGATAATAGTTGATCGTTAATATTCTCATTTAACAGATGATGTTTTGTATAACGTCGAAGAAATGTCCACGATATAATCGATCGTTGTTCAATAGTACCTTCAATGTCGAGTATAAATAAATCTTTTGTATTAGTTGTCAATGATAAGTAGCCGCGACGTTGTATTGCGGTTATTAAATTTGCGTTTGAACCCGGTTGAAATACCCATAAACCTTGTTCGTATAGAATCAAATAGGATGATAAATATGAAATATAACATAGATCTACAACTTTGAAACGTTCACGCATTGACGTGGTTAAATCTAAGGCAACTAACGGACGAAGACTTTTATCGAATAATTTAAATGTTCGGCCATCATGCACGAAAATTGTTTCAGACGATGTGGCCATTAATGTGTATTCTGTATCAATAAATGCTGATTGAATTAATTCAAATTTTATATTTGTTAATTGAGCTTTTTCTTGTTCGTCATCAATTTCTATTTTGTTTTTTTGCTCAGTCTGAGAACGACGTCGTGCAGCTTGCTGTCCTTCGAATTCGTCGCGTAAACGTTGAATTTTGGATTTGTAGATTGATTCAATACGATTTATCATAGTTTTTTTCCACTCATCCAGCATTAATACTAAGCGTTCATAATGTTCAAGTTCTAAAGAACCATAATCTTCATCATTGTTTTCATTATCGTTTAGTGGTGGTTCATGCTTAGTAATAGATGATTCAATAGGTGTTTTCATATTACCACAATGAAGACATTTACCAGAATGTTGATCGATAAAGCGATGAGAACATGTGCGTTTAGCTAAAGATGTATTCATATTGTTAATGTCTACAAGATAGATGAAGACATTGTCTATATCCGTAATTATTTAAAATTGCGTTTTTCCTTTCTATAATGATTGGCCGGTTAGAAGAGCTTTTTTTTGTTAGTTTTTCTTTAATGCATACATATATTATGCTACTTTTTTTTCTCTGTCCATCAATGCACAATTTAGTTCTACAAGAACCAATCTAATACGAAGCAAAACAAATATGCTCAAACGATGTACAAGCATTACACTAGAGAAAAAAAGAAACTCTACGTAATAGAAAAGCAAACACAAAAAAATTAAAGTATATACAAATGCATAAAATGAAAAAAAGCAATACTTGTTTTTAAACACTACTAAACAGATAAATGATATAGGCACTATAGAAGAAAACTATATAATACAGATAAATGCTATTATGACATGTTTATGTTTTTATCGAACGTCGCTGACGATTACCAAGAACGATATTATCGAGATCAAGACCCGATCCAAGAAAAAACTTTTTCGATTTAATTGTTGTTTCCGATGAATTTATTCGTTTTTCAATATTATCAAGTTGAGATTTTTTATTTATTTCAGGTTTCTTTGGTGCTTTTGATGAATCTATTTGTTTTTTAACATTATTGATTGGAAGTTTTTTATTTAATACAGGTTTAATTGGTGTTGCAATGAATTGTTTTGTTCGACGTAATTTAACACGTTCTTCAATGGATAAGATTGGTGTTAAACCAAATGTATCGATTGCGTGAGAAATTATTGGTTTATTAACAATTAGATTTTTCTTTTTGATAATATTGCCTTGTGGTGATTTTACAACATTCTAAAATACAAAAAAAAAGAATTAATTGAATATTCATGTTTTCCTGTTGAAACATACTTTCAATGAAGTTTTATTTTGTTTTTTCTTGAATTGTGTACGTGAATTAGCCGATAAATTTGATCGAGCCGGTTTTTTCTTTGTTTTATTTTTCGAAGGATTCGGTGGATTTGATACATTATTTTCTTTATCACTTGAACTACGATCAATCGATGCAGTTTTGTCTATTAAATTAGAAGAACAAAGAATAATGAAAATAAATATTTTTCTTTTCTTCTTTCATACTAGAGCGAATTGAATTTTTACGAGGCTTTTTAGTTTTCATTGCACGTTGTTTTAGAGATAACGTATCATGATCAAGCATTGAATACGAATGATCTGTTAGAAATTTGTAATCATTTTCCATAGTCGCTATCGTTTTATATTAATTGCATCGATAGTTAGTAATCGAACAATGATTTTATTGTTCAAGAATAATAAATAGATGCTCTGCAAAATAAATAATTTGATCTGACAGGTGAACACAATGGAGGAAATGGTAAACAAATAACAGCCATTAGCCTCACGCGACTCTCATTTGGCTATTTTCTATCCATTCATTTTGCTTTTCAGTGTTGAAAAAAATTAGTTAAATAAAAAATGCCTTGATCTCATTACGATAAAATTTTTCATGAATAATTTCAAAACTTTAGCAAAAATAGTTAGCGCCGCGGCAGCGTTAAGCGACATCTACAGACCAGTTTTGTTTTCAGAGCCAGAACGAAAGTCGAGAGTTGTTAAAAAAAAACATCTACAAAATTGACCTTGTCTGCTATATAGGAGATGTTTGCTGAAAGTGAGCGCATACAATGTAAATATCTTTCCAAGTATAGAATGGACAATAATGGTTACGAATGCTCACTTGAAAATCAAATCCGTTGTACCAAGGTGAACTTGATTATAAATTTCTGAAATATAAAGAGGGTATTGCTATTACAAAACCCATAGAATCGTGTTCGCTCTTGACAAACTATTTGTGAAATCATTTTATCCCACAATGCATCAACAAAAATCTTTCGAATTTGAAAGAATGAGAATATGGTGTGAAATCGAAATCTTTATAAGATGTAGTCATCGTTTTCGTAACTGTAAAGAGAGTTTACCAACGAGAGTGTTGTTGATCATTCAATCACTATTATATTTTTTTGGTTTGACAAGGTTATTGGAAATGTTTAGTTGATTATGGGAAACAAGTAGGCTGATTTTCATATCTAATGAGCTGTATTGTCTAATCTTCTGATTAAGCTTTAGATTTACAAGTATATCTCGCGAAAGAGATTGTAAGCCCTTGTGTTCTCTTGGAATTTGATTAAAACGAAAATATCTATTAAATTTTAAACTAATTCTCAAGTTTATTTTCAATATGTCCTTGTTGAAATTGATTATTTAACTACTGTTTATTAAAAATACTGTTAGTCGCTTTGTTTATATAATGAAAAAAAAAATAACAATTACAATAAACTATATAGTAATAAAAGTGTAACAGCAGGTTGATTGTCTAATATTAGTTTTCTATAATGACAAAGTGAGGTTAATATGTATGCATAAAAAATGAGTAAAATTGAGATGTGAAAAAAGAAAAAGATTACAAATCAGTTTTGCCTGTTGATGAATGTTTGGTTTTACTCGGACTTTTCTTGGGAGCTACATTTGGTTCATATTTTTGTTTCGGTGCTTTAGTGAATGAATTTCGACTTTCATCTTTCGTTAATTCAATATGTTCTTCAATTTCTTCTTCTGTATTACCTATTTAAAATACAAAAAAGGTATTTGAAAGTTATATGAAAAAAGAAATCAATTTTCTATTTACCTGTTTTACATTCTTCACTACATTCTTCTTTACGATTGACTGGACATTTCATACGCTGCATACATTTATCATATGTTAAAAATTGATTTGCTTTCGACGATGAATAAACTAAATAAATACATAAAAATGGCATACTTCTGTATTTCAAAAGACTCGACAAATACTTGTTCCTAACTCTTTTTCTCGTTTATCTTCATTGATTTCTTCGAGTTCTTCTAATTTTTTCTTGTTCCGAGCAACATTCGAATTGTCAGTTGATTGACTTTGAGAATATTGACAAAAATAGACAAAACATACGATGAATACAAGGATATATCGTTCAGTTAGATCCACCTAAATATTGACAATCAAAACGAAGAAATTTTTTTGTTAATGCGAATTCGTATCAAAGTTTGAAAACAAAACAGATTAATAGCGGACACCTTTTGTAAGTTTCTTTTCTTTCAATATAATGTTATTGAACAACATTGTCGGTACACAAGACATTTTAAATAACGGCTAATGGGGAAATAATAATACCTCATGTTCTTTCTTTTTTTTTTATCCTTGTCACCCACATGTACTATACTGCAAGAAAATGAAAGACGACTTACACACTATACATATGCCATGAAAATATCCATCGTAGACGCATAAGAGTGAGTAAAGAAGAAGAAGAAAAAAAACGAAAATTCTACCAGCACGAAACTCAAACGCTTTTCTTTATTTCATAGAGAAAAGAAATGGTCAACAAAGACTATTATGCTATATTAGGTGTAAGTCGAATAGCTACGGATGATGAAATCAAACGCGCGTACAAACAAAAAGCACTTAAATATCATCCCGATAAAAATCGTGACGATACTGATGCAGAAAAAAAATTTACGGATATTAGAGAAGCATATGAACTCTTATCGGATCATTATAAACGTTCATTATACGATCGATTCGGTTCAGATGATATTCGAAATTATTTCAACGCTGATTCTCGTGGTAGTTTTCGTGATTCATTTTCAACCGGTAATTATAATTCTTCATATGGCACTGATGCAGCTTATGATGCAGTTCATAATTATTTTGTGCGTTCTAAAGATCCAACGACATTCTTTGATTTATATGTTACATTAGAAGAAATCGACAAGGGTGCAATTAGGAAATTAAAAGTCACACGTAAACGATTTAATGCTGAACTGAATGCAGTGGAAAAAGATGAAAAAGTTCTTGAAATTCCAATAAAACCTGGATGGAAAGAAGGTAGGAACAAAACAAAAATCTCTGCTATCATCATTTGAATTATATTTTTCAGGAACAAAAATTACATTTGAAAATGAAGGTGACGAACAAGATCAAAATACTATAGCAGGTGATATTGTATTCATTATTCGAGATAAACCACATCCTATATTTGAACGTTCAAATTCCGATATAATCTGTCGAGTTAAACTCACATTAAAACAAGCATTACTTGGAACATTAATAGTCATTCCATTTCTTGATTCAACTAAACCACCGTATCAACTACGTACTTTTGATGAAATAATCACACCACAAACAGAAAAACGCTTTCCAAACGAAGGTCTACCTTATCCAAAAGATCCAACAAAGCGTGGCGATCTTATTATTAAATTCGAAATACTTTTCCCGAAATCTCTTAATAGCCAACAAAGTACATTCGCAGAGAGTTATTTTCCGAATTCATTAGATTTCTATCAACCATATGATTCCGTACTTCATACAACTATTATCGATCGAACTAAGCAACAACAACAACAACAAACACCACCTACACAACATCAATCATCGTCAACAACTCCACTCAAATCTCAATCTTCGTCTAATACTACTAACAACAGCAGTAATAATAATAATAATAATAATAATAATAATAATAATAATAATAATTCCAAATCTCCTCATCGTCATTCGACTAATAATGGATGTCACAAATCACCAGCTCCTAACAGTCCTAATCAACCTAAATCAGCGTCTGTACGTATTCCCCCGCCGGTGCCACCACGAACCACATCGACTTCATATACCGGAACATATGCCAATGATGCTGTCTTCTAACAAGTGTTATTCTCCTCGATCAGTGCCCGTTTTTTTCTCTCTTCATATTCAAGTGTTTTTTAATTATCCTCTATATGATGTGCGAAGGTACTCTTGAGAGTACCTAGATCAATATCAATATATATATATATATATATATATATATATGCATTAAAAAAAACCTCTAGCACATATGTAATTCTTTTAACATCAAAATATATCAATGCTAGAAAAGCCTATTTCAATAGCTTGTTATTACAATGATGAAATAAAACAAAAAAAAAGAGAAAAGAACGTAGATCTTACCATTTTATGAATATCAGGGTATTAGAAATAGCAACAGAAGAATGGATAAATACTTAATGTGTCTTCTTTTTTTGTTTTGCTTTGTATAAGAGACAACTAAGCAGATTCACTATTTACAAGGAACCAGTACATGTATGTGGATATATATATATATAGGTCTTGATAGTCGACATCGGTTGCTGATTGCCGCACAGAGAAAAAACGTTATGCGATATCACATAGCTACGTATACACCGATGATTCAAGGACGAAATATGTCACGATGGAAGAATAGAGAGAAGATGTCTGCCGGATACTAATAAGCTGTAGTGAAGCTACTATATCACTATTTGACATATGTCATCTTAACTTCAGCTCACGTTATTTTGATTAAACTAAGTGACCATTTCATTGAATACAACGATAAAGAAAACGTGCCCTTTTCACGTTTTTCATAGTAGCAGATTAGCAGCATCACAAGTCAAGGCAGCATGCCCGACCTAAAAAAAATGACTTGTCGATTAGTTGATCTGCTGAATACTTCTTTCTACATTTACTATCTCATTTATTTCTAATTCCAAGCATTCTTTCGAATATAGAATTGATTCGATTTTGAATTATCGTCTCTAATTTTTTCGGAGTTCGTTCTCAACCAAAATCGAAAAAAAAACTATTTCTTCGTACATGGAACATTGTAATCAAAATGCATTGAGAAAGTCAGATTTTTGCTTGTACTAGTAGTAATCTGAATGTAATCATCAATTCGGGTTTGTTTGACCTTGTTTCGGCTATTATAGATGATACAAAAGCAGGAATGTAGATTATTAGTCCAAGCCGTAGAACTGCATAGACAATGGCTGTTGGAAACTTGTTATTTTATGATGGATACATAACTGTACGAGAGAATTTTTCATCTGTCGACAACCATAAAACAGAAAATCAAAATAATATAAACAATATAAAATCTCTTGAAAATATGATCATATAATTATCTAAAAAAACGAGCTAATGTTTTCCTTCAAAACAACAAACTACAGTACTCTAATTAAAGTCCAAATAATCTCTATAACATTATTTTTTATTCATCATACGATCATACTAGTATAGCTAGAATCATCGATATCATTGCTTGTCGCTTGTTTTCATTTGTACATATCTAAGAAGAAAGAAAAAATAACAAACACGTTGCCGACTGACAACCCGATCAGATGATAGGCATTCTTCTTCTTATGAAAACATATACTGAAACATATTGTCGATTTCAATCACAATTATTACAATGTGTGATCATCATTTATTTATTATTACAGTACCAAATGATTGGCCAACTACTATTAATCATAATGATAATGAATTAAACAAGAATAATGTAACGAAGAAAATCTTTTTCTTACGAATATTATAATAAATTGAAATTTTCTAGTTTTTAAACGAAATAATCGATAGTGAAACGCCATTAATAGATAGTGCTATGCCTGAATTCGCTGATTCGATATCACCCTTTCTATGCCAGGTTAAATAAGTTTCTGTCTTTTTTTTCTATCAAATTGATCGATTTATTTATTTTTATTGAAAAAAAATTCTTCATGTTTTTTTTGTATTACAGCTTCTAAAAGATGCTATTCTTGATAAATATGATTTAAATGAAGCGTCAACATGGGTTCTTTCTGCTGATCAAAAACAATATGAAGTAAATTGTAATTAATAGAAGAGTTGCTCGTTTAATTCTTCTTTTTTAAGGTTACATTTGTTTCACAAATCGGTACATTTTGCGAGGAACTTCTTCATCGTTTATCTGAAATAGGCATAGGTCGATTAGCTGGTACTCGAGTAGCGTAAGAATTTTTTCGATCACCGATATCGACTGTTTTCTTTTATCTTTACTAGTGTTTTACCTCTTACCTATGCGATTGGTTCTTCAACTTTGACATCCTACAAAATTCCAAAAATCCCTAAAACATCATTAAAATCAGATCTGAGTTATATTTCGAAACCTTCTAAAACTCAAGCTAAAATAGTAGGGCCTGATTCACTTCCGTCTAAGTAATTATGAAAATGAATACAAAGAAATTTAATTGTCCCATTTTCTAAAGTGGATTTCAACGACGTAAATCTATTCGCGCTGATTTTATGCAAAGTATTCGATCGCGTCTGATGGTTTTTCAAGTTGTTCAAGCTATTCGATCACAATCATCAATTACATTTGACTTTGTTGTACTTGTCATTCTTGCCAGGTTTAATATTTTCAAAAGAAAATATTTTCATTTTTTTCTTTTTCTTTTTAGTATTTTAGCTATTCTTGGTTTACTTGAAAATAGTTCTGTTATACTTGTTGCTTCAATGCTTATTTCCCCATTAATGGTTTGTGACTGAAACGGATTTGAGTATGATTGTGATTTTCCTCGGTTTTAGGGTCCTATTTTAGCTATTGTCTTTGGACTTTGTATTCATGATCGTTCATTATTAAAAACCGGACTTCGATCAGAATTTCTCGGTCTGTTTATTTGTGTTTCATGTGGTAAGATTAAAATAGATATGATACTTCTTTATTCTTTTTTTCGTTTAAGGCTTTTTAATGAGTCTCGGAACATCGACATGGGAAACTGGCTGGGGCAGTACAACATCGTTTCCTACAGCTGAAATGACAGCACGGTATTCTACTTATTTTCTTGACCTTCCAGATAGATGTAGATGTTTGATTGATTTGTTTTTCAGTGGTGATCTAACTCGTTTATCCGTTGGTAGTATGATTGCATTACCATCAGGAGCTGGTGTTGCATTATCGGTTCTCGGAGGAAATGCTGGTAAAATTGACTGAAGAATTTAATAAAATTATCATTAAATTCATTTTTTCTAGGTTCATTAGTTGGTGTAGCTATATCAGCCTCATTACTTCCACCAGCTGTTAATTCAGTATAAATTCTGATAAAATTTCTTCATTAATAATACTAACTTCTGTTGTTGTTTTTTGTTATGTAGGGGTTGCTGTTAGGTTATTCATTATTAACTGCTGTTTTTCCGAATACATTTGGTCGTCATTCCAATGAAACCTATGTATGTAACTAAATTTATCTCAATTAATTATTTTCTTATCTATAATTCATAGAATATCTCACGTAAAATTTATCCATACCACAATATGACGTGTCAAGCATTTGCATTGAATGACTATCGTTCATTATATTCGTGCAATATGTCAATAGAAACATTTATTTTGGCTATTTCAAGTTTTCTTCTTGCACTTGTGAATATCCTTTGTATAGTTCTATGCGGTTTAATTGTCTTACGAATAAAAGAAGTTGCACCGAGTAATACGAAAAATGAAAAACAAATATCGAAAACCGAACAATTTTTTCATAATGATATACGTCGATTTCGTGATTATCAAAAAACTCTGCACAATGCACAAGACTTAAATGATGATAATAAATCTGGACGTACATCAATATTTGATAATGACGATAGTACACAACGAGAAATGCATCAACAATTACTTGCACTTGCTGAACTACATGATTTAGATATGACCAATGAAAATGATTTAACATTAAATAATTTTCGAGCACGTGATAAAGTCAAACGACTCTATAAAACAGTGAGACAATTAGATGAAGACGCCAAACGTCTTGATATTGCAATCAAAGATAAACGATCATTATCCGTAAGTACTAACAATGTACCGGGCCACATTTTCTTTTATCTCGGTCCCGCGACTAGTTTTTCACATCTCTAGAATATACTTATGCAACAATCCGAGTTTCTAATGAATTTATTTATTATAGGCTTTAATGATGGATGTCTTACCACCGAAATGGACAGAGCTTTTTCAACATCAACAAGAACAAGCCATTGTTGAACAACACGATCCTAATGAGAATACTCAATCGCATAGGTCATTCCATCGACATAGTCCAGAATATTATAAAACCTATCAAACACGTCTAATCGATGATCGGGATCATTCTGTTTTACCAGACAATCATCGTAAACATCGTAAACATTTATATTCATCAGATCCTTGTATTATGAGATCACTATCGGCGTGCGAACAAGAAAGTGAAACACAACTACTTGGTACACGTTTTCGTCTGACGAAAGCAACTATTCCTTTAGATGATGACGAACAAGCCCATAAATCAAAAATTCAAGATGATTATGTTTAAAACAAACTAAGTCGTTTGCTAGATAAACCACTAAAGAGTGAAACTTCTTTTAAAAGCCAATTATGATATCTATTCCATTGTTGTTGTTAATCTAAGCTTTAAACATTCTTTTCAGTTTCAATCAAAGAAAAACAACATTTAGTATAATAAAATTTATTCTTATCATTTTCAAGTGATAGAATATAAAATATTATTCATCAAATAGACTAATCATGAAAAACGCAGATAACGCACTACTTCTCCTAACTAATCAAAAATTAGATTCGATGGACCCTACGAAAACCTACCTATGAACTTCAAATGAGTAAAATCAGTTTTGTTATAGCCAACATTTTGAGTGCCTAACTTCAATCATTCTGGTTGGCCGTCTTTCATATAATTTTATATCATCAGTAAACTCAAGCGATCGAAATCCAAGGATGTAACTACTTTTTTTTATCTACCATAAATCACTATCGAGCTTCCAGAAAGAAGCAAAATGATTTTTGTATAGTAAAGAACGTTTTTAGTTGAAACATCCTATGTTTACTATAATATATATTTTAGCAGATATAATCATTTGACAACAAAATTTTAACTACACGACAATTCAGAGAACACAAAAAAATAACCTATTACATCTGACAACATAAGAAACACAGAAAAAAAAAAGAATTTATTTATTCGATATGCCACAGATTGATACCAACCTAGAAGGAAATATATGATAACATGATAAAGAGTAAAACTTCTTTCAAACTTACAGAATCAAACTTCAACAGCTGTGTTACCATTAACAATAGGTTTATTTTCTACTTCTTTCGAATCGATAATCGGTGTATCAGTATCTTCATCTATTTTTATTTTCTTTGTTTGATCACCACTTCGTTCATCATCATTATTTACATCGGCTTTTTCTTCTTCTTGTTCTAATTCGCGTTTTTTACTAGTCGTACTTTCTGCACCATTGGTAAGAGCTGCTGATTCGTCTTTTTCACTTTCATTGACTTCTTTCAATGGTTCATTTGTTCGAGTAGGTGAAACACTTGTCGATGCTACAGCTGCATTGTTATCAGTAACATTTTCTTGCTCATCTGTTGGCACCGATGCTTCTTCAGTCGTCTTGGCCGATGTATCATCATTTGCCTGTGGTACATCTTCAGTTACAGCTGGTTCAGCACTGGCTGTTGTAGGTTCTTCTGATACAATTTGTTCTTCGCTAGTTTTTGATGCATCTTCAGCTACTACTGGTTGTTCATCATTAGTTTTTGATTTATCTTCAGCTACAGGTACAGCAAGTGGTGTTGCTTCTTCTTGTTGTTGAACAACTGAATCAGTATTTTCCATAATGTTTTTTAAAACTGTAAAAAATAAAACCGATTGATATTTATGCTATTAATGTTTTCGTTTCACTCTTACCCGTATAAGAAGAATGAACTTGTAACGACTGATCTGGCGATATGATGAAGAATGAATCTGTACTGAGAGAAAACGCGAGACTTATATATGATGTAGACGGACGGATCGATATAGACAACGGATTATTGTTATATGTTCGAATACAAAGAGTATGGGATTGAAAATTTTTTTTTATGGATAACAATAATCAGATTCGATGGAAAAAATTGAAATATTGATTTTATTAAAGAAATATTCACGAAATAACATTTTATATAATTGTCACTGATTGGTAATTTTGAATAAACCAATCGGATTGAGCCCCGAAGGTACGAAATGTTCGCCAGTCAGCCGATTTTATACTTCTTTGTCTATAATTATAGAATAATACGATGTCCACCGATGAAGAAATTCCGGCCGTTTCGAATGTTGAAAATGCAAAAATTTCCGATGGCGCAAGTACTGCTGGTGATTATAATACGGACATAGTCGACGAACAATCGGCGGTAGAAGAAATAAATCAACCGGATGATGAAATTGTAAAAGAAACTAATAAACAGGATCTAGAAGAAATTGAGAATAATTATTCAAAAGAAGAAGAAGAACGAAATGACACTCCTGTATCTTCAACAGCGAATAGAAAAACTAAAGTTCTTGATACAACATCAGATCAAAATAATGAGGACGATAGCGAGTTACCTAGCGAAGAATTAACTGTTGTTTAGCTTTTATGTGATCGTTTGATTTCTTTTTGCTGTATTATGTATTCCATAATCTTACATTGTCGCGTTATGCATTGTTGTATAAAATTGGATTTTAATTTCAGATTGATTAAAATATGTCACTAGCAGCGACAACAGCATCAACAAATCTTTTTGAAATAAAGTGAGTTGAATATTTTTCAAACAAATTATACTCAAAATAGAAAAAAACATCCGCTTGTCAATACTTATACGTTTCGAAATCTTAAATTTCTTTGATAGTAAAAAGTTTATTTTAAAGTAGCTAGTTTTCATCTTTTCCTTCAGAGAATAATTTCAAATCATCAAGCAACTAGATAAATATCTCACGAATTAAAACTGAGAGTGAATAGCGTTCCGTATACAATAAATTATTAGTTTGTTTTTAGGCGATGATTTTTTTCTTCAATTTCGTTTGTATTATTATTTAGAGATGAAGATGCTAATGCATCATTTCTTCTTGGCAAACGAGATGTATTATTGAATAATTATCAAGCAGCATGTGATCATCTATCAAAAACATGCGAACGAATGTAAGAAAGAAGTTTTGATTTTAAGATCGTATTTAAAAAAGAAAAAATTCTTTTTAGTGTCAAAATTCGTGAAAGTGATACAGCACCGGAACTTGCTGAACCCTATTTTTACTATGGTCAAGCATTACTTTATCTTGGTCTTAGTGAACAACAAGTATTCGGCAGCGATATTGTTAAAGGTAAATTGAATGTAATTGTTTTTCGTTCTGAGAAATTTCACATGCGATCGGCTTAACTACAGTTGTTCCAGAGAAGGGCTTAGCATTTTTATCCTTAATTCACGAAAGACGTAAATATCTATTTTCTCATTCATAGATGGAGAAAATGATGAAAATGAAACTATTGAAGAAGAAGACGAAGAAGAAAATAATGCCGAAACAAAAGAAGGCGAAAATGGTGTCGTCAAAGACGGTGTTAATGAACAAGTTGAAGCTGAGAATGAAGATGATTCTATTCCAGCTGATGAAAATGTTAATGATCTTGAACGTGCATTTGAAATTCTTGAATGTGCACATATGATCTATTCGAAAATGTCTGAAGATTATCCAACGGACACTCGTATTATCACGCGTATAGCTGATATTCATGTTATGCTTTCAGATATTTGCAATGAAAATGGTGATCATGAAACTGCTCTTACACATGTACTTAAAGCTATTGATTTACAAGAAACTATTCATGAACAACAACGTTATCGTTTACTTGCTGAAAGTTATTATAAATTAGGATTAATCTATGAATTAATTAATAAATTTGCAGATGCAGTCGATAGTTTTAATAAAGCTATTGATGCTATTAATCAAGCTATTAAACATTTGGATGGCGAAGATAAAGAAAATGAACGTGAAGAACTTATATCGCTTTTACCATCGATTGAAACTAAACGTAACGATGCAAAAGCATCAATGGCTGATCAACATTTAATTGCTCAAGCAAGAAAAATTCTTACAGGAACGGATAATACAACAGAAGCTAAAACAACAGATGCTCCTGTTAAAGATATTACATTAAATATTCGACATAAACGACCAGCTACTGAAACAGAAAATGACGATGACGTCAATAAGAAGGCGAAAGTTGAATAAAATTTTTCTATTGTTCATATTGTAAATTGGATTCCAAATAAAGCAAAAATATATTCTTGGTTATTTCTTGTAGATGGATTTTAGTCATTTAGCTTTTGAATTTCAATGGGAACAATGTTTTTCTTTAATAGACAAATGGAAAGCCACTATGATTGATCATATTACAAATACTCATCAAGAAAAATCATCAGAAATTCAAATGTATAAAGACAAAGCAGAGAAAAATTTTTTTCTCGAGAAAAAAAAATTCGTTCTTGATATGAACGAATATTTTCAACATTCCTGTATACTTTCCTATGAAATAAATTTATTTAAACAGAAACTAGATCAATTGAAAGAAAATATTATACATCGGCCATTACCATTAAATATCGAAATTAAATCCTATCCTCTAAATATATCCATCACTATAAATCGCTTGTTCAATCAACAATTATTTAATCAACGGACAATCTCTTCTGAATATAAAATCCCTACGCAATCGGTAAACTTAATCGCAACATCGAATAATCAAATAATTCTTGTTAATAATGAATCAAAAATTTTCCTCTACGATAAATTAATTGGATTTATTGATGAAATAAATTTGTCAGATTATACCGATGAATATTTAAATGATATTTGCTGGTCCAAAAAATACAAAAATTTTCTATTTCTCTGTGATTATTCATTGTGGTCATTGGAAAATTTATTTTTAAAAAAACTTGCACATATTTCAAATAGAAAACATCTCCTAAATAATTTAACATGTTTTCATAATTATGTTTTTATTATCTACGATCATGGAGAATTTATCGATCGATGGTTAATACAGCCAGAATGGAAATTAGAAAAACGTTGGATTAAATATCACAAAAATGATATTTTATTATCGATTTATTCAAATAATGATTATTTACTTTTGTATACGAATAAATCCATTCAATTATGTTCGCAGGATTTAATTATACATTATTCAATTGATTTAACCAATCAAGAACATGTCTATTCAAATTTTATGTTTTTAACTTCATACAAAATATGGTTATTAATTGATAAGCAAACTCATCTATTAAAATATTTTCGTTTAAATAGTAGCAAAATTTATACACTTGATCAGATTTACGTTAGAAATATTAGTTCTATGGGAGATAGTGAATTAGCGTTTATTACAAACGATAGTTGTCATTTACAAATAATTTTGATTTGATATAGAGCATTTATTTTGCTTAGTTTTTTATTTGTAAAACTATGAAAATATTTGAACATAATATTTTAGATTTTATTTTGTGATAAAATGGCGAAGCCTATGATTACGATTCTGTGTCCAAGTGGACATCGGCGAAAAGCACAAATGGCACCCAATACCAATTTGCTTCAAGTAAGATATGCATAGAAAATGTTTTCCTATAATACTTAGCGATGGGACTGGAGATTTGTTATATATCATCTTAAATCGGATTATCATAATGTCCTATGATGCCTCTAGAAATAAAAACACCAGATAGCAGGGGTCTCTCAGCATTAGAGCCAGTCTGGTGTAAGATTTTTGGGCGCGCATCCGAGTGATTCCTCCCGATGGGCTCTACTCAGAGTTCCTCCGGTCACAAGGATTGAAAACATGGAATTCTGCACATTGTTGAATATACTATCGACTCTTTATGATTAAACTTTTAATAGAATGTTTATTCTTTTGTATAGGTACTCGAAGATATGTGTACTCAAGAAAGCTTAGATTCATCTGAATGGGGCCTGACGTAAGTTTTTTTTTTAAATAATTGTTTCAATCTTCATCAATAATATTCAACTGTAGACAGCAACGTAAAAAATGTGATTTAACAATACCATGGCGTTTATCCGGTATTCCAACCAATGCTCTTTTAGAAATGTACAAATTAGAAGAACGTCGACCAACAAGTGACGTCACTGTACAATTACAATTGCCAGACAATTCAAGATCTAATGGTAATTTTAAACCTTCGATTAATCTTCAAGATATGCTTGATTGGTACCGCAATCAACCAGAAAGGTTCGCTATTAGAGTATTTCTTAACTTAACTCTCGTTTATCAATTTAAGTATGGTTGCTGCTCTTGATATTTCCATGAGCAATGATGATAAATTCCATCCAGTATGTTCATACATGAGTGAAGAAATAATTGGTACATATGCTTTATCAAATACAACATTACGTGAATTTGGTCTCACTAGTGGTACAGCTGTAATTCGGTAGGTGACATAAGTACTATTTACTTTCACAATCAGTTTATATTTTAACTTTTGGTTTCTAGTTATAACAATCGGTCAATGAATGATGATGATTTAAAAAAGATTAATAGTCGTATTGATGAGAAAATTGCCCGTCGCAATCGTCAACAACAACAGACAACAGTCTCTGCATCTGCTCCGTCGCCTTCTCCAACAACTACAACTACGTATAACCCTCCCCCTTCGATCCCTGTTACTACAGCATCGCTTAATAATACTGATGAATATTCAATATTCCGTAAACCTCCTGTGTTTCGTCCAACGACGAATGTTTGTTTATTTATTTATTAGTTTTTGTTTTCACCTTAAACATGCTCATGTTTTCCATTAGCCTCAGCAACAACCGAAAACATTAGCCGAAACGCTTGGTATTAATGTTTCATTTGATTCGAAACCTATATTTAAACAACCACCTCAAACTGATTTCAGCAATTTTAAAGTAAAATTCTCTCGAACTATAATAAAAAAAATAACTTTTTCTTTTAGTTTCCTGAAGCGACAAAAGGTCAAGATCTTCAACAGAATGAATCGTCAGATAATTCTCAACGCAAGCGAGATTCAAAAGTAAGTCATTGCCTCTGATAAATTCATTCTCATATCGATCGATACGCATAGCCAAATGATCGCCGTGTCATGGCTTACGATCTAACAAATAATTCTTCGAAATCGGAAAGTCAAACTGAAGAATTACCCGATAGTTTTTTTGAATTAACACCTGATGATCTTCGATCAATTATAAATACTTTAAGGCAGCAAGGGTAAATATTTTCTTGTTTGTTTCTTTTCTATGAAACATTTCATATCGATTTAGTACTGAAGATAATGCATTAGAAACTCGATCCATGCGTGAAAGAAATCAATCGTTGCGTGTGTCTTCCTATGAATATATTGCAATTCGATTAGTGATTCATTCAAATGTTGTACTCCAAGGGCTATTTCACCCAGAAGAACCAATATTACATCTTATGGAATTTGCACGCACAAATCTTACTTGTCCCCAATTAGAACAAAATGATTTTTATTTATATACATCGCCACCACGCGTAGTTTTATCGGATGTAAAGAAACCATTATCGGCTTATGATTTGGTTCCAGCTGCATTTGTTTATATTGGTCATCGAGCAATTTCACCACTTGTTATTCAACTTGCACAACATGTATCTATAGGAAATATTCATGAAGCCAATCAAATTGTGACACGCCATGTCTTCAATCGGACAAAATCCGACAATGAAGACGATAGTGAAGTTTCAACTACAGATACTAATCGGCCAGCTAAAAGAAATACAACAACGCAGAATATCGACGATAAACATCTACGGGATAAAATGCGCAAATTTTTACCCGGAAAAAAATGAACGCTTGATTGTTTTTCTTTTCTAGTTATTTTATTCTCGAATTTAAAAAATTAACAATAAATGGGTCGTAAAGCTTCACTATTTCGTTTTATCGAAAAATAAGAACCATACTTAGATAAACATCGAATATGTCATGCATAAATATTTAGATAAAGGGAACTACTACACGAGATTGAAGAATAAAAAACGATGCCACGCCCATCTAGAATGTTGGAGAACAATAAATGCCATTAGACTTGGCGCACAAATGAGAAATCTTATCACCATAGAAGAAAGAGCCATGAATTACAGTAAATATGTAATCCATCGCTAGAGTGTAAATAGAGCATGCTATTTGATTTATCTATAGTGTCATAGGGACATAAAAATGAAGTAAACCATGATAACAATAGTTGCCATTAGTCAAATTTAATTATATAATAAAGTTTAGTACATACCGAGAAAATATTATTACGTCTATAACTAATGTCCTGTTTTGTTTAAATGCTATCACGCACATATTAAATTCCATTTAAGAATCATAGCCGAGGCTCGCGGCTAGTATGTACAGTCGTCTACAACTACCACTCGGGTACAAAAATGAAAAATTTCCCCACCACCTTAATGTTAGAATTATTTCCAAAGCATCGTCTCTCATACAATGATATGATAAGAAAATAGATATAAGGTACTTCATGGCGAATTTTCTGCTTCTATCTAACAGAATCATAAGACTAAATCTGGGTTAATATGAGTTCATTCATAGATTCCGTATGTGACTTATTATTTGACAGCAACTCGAAAATTATGTGTCCTTCGGTAGATAATATTTTCCTTTAACATATGTTACTCAGTTGTTTCCACAATATCTAAATGATTATTATTAATATCGATATCAACATTCTCTTATCTTATGTAGAAAGCATGAGCCACATAATTCTAGTTTTTGGACTGAAACAGTTCCTAAGTACGAAATTGAAAAGATATTTTTATTTAAAATCGAAAAATCCTTACATGCAATAAAATGAACATTTATTACAATCAAAATGTTTCTTATGCTTAGTATAAAATGCGTGATTTACTATAACTTTGATGCTGTCTTGGATGAGCGTTTGGATGCCGTCCTGTACACACATTCGATGGTCGACAACGACAAATTGGGCAACTATTTCTGTCGAGAATATTACCGCAAGGACAATAGATTGAGCATGTTGGTGGACATCGCGCATGAATACTGCGCTTGGCTGGAAGCGCTTCGGTGCTCATCGGCATTAAACAAAGACAAATTCCAATCAAAATGAAAGCGAAGAGTAAAAATACTGTAGCGCGCATTGTATATGCCAAGTAATCAGTAGGTGCTTCGAAGCTTTTTTCTTTTTTCTACTCAAGTGCAATCGATGTTTATATATCTCTGTAGAGAGGAGAGAAGGAATCCTAGAAACGCAATACATGTGCTTCAAGTATTTTGCACTTTCTCTTTAGGTTATATACGTCGATCACTTTTTTTTGTTTCTCTCTTGATTATTCTCTAGTTTCTATGTAGTTTTGCGCACCTTGTATTGCACTGAACCATATCGATTAAGATTTATTAATTAATAAAAAGAAATTCGAATATATTACAATCAATTGTTTGAGTTAGTTCGATAAATGATCGTTGACAGGCTAATCTATAAAGGGTTTGGGTATAAGTTACACGAATACCTACCCCCTTTCAATACAAAATTTTCTGGTACATATTCTTGAACATCATTAGCTTCCTACTGAAATAATTCTTTTCATTTTCTATGATGTCAATTACATTACACACTTTTTACTATACTCAGTTGTTGTTAAATAGAAAAAAAAATAAAAACGATTAAGTTCTACACCAATTTGAATAAGAACTAAATCGAGTTCAGATGGATTTTGATATAAATTCAAAAAACCTCACTCCAATAACTGGTAAACCCGCATATCTGCATAAAAAATTCCGTCGATATCTACTGATAAAAATATATCAATATATATTGATATATATTATATTTGAAGCGATTAAGCTGTTAGATTCGCAGTATGGTGTTTATTTTCGAAATGAAGATCACCTATTATAAATATATATTTCACTCTAGACACACACACACACAAATAGAGAACATTTATATTGACATCAAGCAAGAAAACTAAAATAATACATTTAAATCTGTCTCATTATGAGATAAAATTAAATTCTAGCATTTGTTTTAACCTTTTTCGTATTATGGACATTTTCAGACCTCAAGATTTGTTCTGTAGCACATAGATTTCTTGCTCGAGAAGCTCAAGAAACTGATGCGTATGAGCAAGAAGAACCAACAACAGATGTCGGTAACTAGCAATATGAGGATTACAGATGTTGATTAAAATTAAAATAAAATTCAAACACAATCATGAAAATATATTCAAAACTATGAATAATATTTATTTAAAAAAAATAAAATCTACTATTCGAAGTTATAAATCTCAATTGGATTGACGGAAAAGTTGATAGTAACGACTCACAGAATGAACATTTCTTATTAGCAAACATGTTTTACGCACATAGATCTCTCTGTTCAATTCGGTTAATTTCGACTACTCTAGTTCGGTGTCTGCCTCGTGTTACAGCATCACAGGAAATTCCAGTAGCCACACCAACATCTGACTATGCAGTAATCAATTCATCTAAACAGTCTCAAACAATCAAATTCAATGATTATAATGTTGTTAAACCATCTGCACCGAGCGTTCGTTCACAACCAATTCCAAAATCAGTACCAAAACTTATTGATGTGCAAACTGGCTTAAATAATTTTATGAACGAATGTGACGAACGAATGCTATTGATGACAATTGAAAATAAATATAAACTATTCGATTGCACTAACGTGGCAACATTTATTCAACGCCTTCTAGAATTAAACATCAAACGTGATTCCGATGAAAAACATCATCAACGCTTTTTTGATTTTGTCGATTATTTCAGTAACTAGAAAATAGTGTTGTAATTTCATTTTCTTCTTCTTCTTCTCTGCTTTATTTAGTATTAAAACATGGTTATCAATTTGATTTTGATCATGTTCTAAAAATGTATTTTCAATTGGCATCATTAAATGGTAATGCTAAATTACACGCTGGAAATTATGCATTAAAAGGTCTCGTTCAATTACTAAAACACAATGTTAATAAATATCATTTACAAGATACTGGTCGTATATTAGTCATACTAGAAAAAGATCTTGGTTGTAATTTACATGAAGACGAACGAATTCGATCACTATTCGAAGCACTTTTTCTTCTAACAAAATTTCGTCAAAATGAACTCGATCGTTTAGACGCACAAGCGCTAGCAGAATTAGCTTATGTATTTGCCACCGAACTTGATCATGTTTATTTTACGAATATTTTAAATGAATATATTCACGACGAACTACATCAAAATAAATCTTCTACTTTACTCATATTTCATGCACTAGAGCGCCGTGGTTATAAACATAATCGAGTATTAGATATTTGCCTTCATTTTGTAAATGAAAACAAAGAAATGTTTGCTGAAGAAATGAATGAAATCAAAGAAATTTTAAAAAAACTTGAATATAAAATTGTCGAAGATTAAATTGTTGATGTTTTTCTTTTCAGATAAATTAATTCTACATTGTGCAGTTATTTATTTTCGAATAAATATAAGTATATGATATTTCAGATGAATTTATGCCTAGCGTGAAAGTTATTTGGTGCGATTTGGTCGTAGAAGGAAAAGTCTTGCTGGAAATAATGTCGATAACTATCGCTGTTAGAATACAATGAATGCGGATGTTTTTCTAGTAGCTCCGGAAGAATCAACGCTAGCGGCCTGCGATTTTCAACATTCAAAAAAAGAATGTTAATGAACTAGAACGATGTTGAGTTCAATGCATCAATAGATTCTATGTTTTCATTGGTCGAAAGTCAATTAGGACTAATTCTATTTTTGAAAAATCTCGAATGATTATCGTTTAATCAAGCGTATGGATATCAGAGAACATATTTTCTATTGCGATCATGATAAAATTAAGCCGCTTGCGAGTTTTTCGTGGAAGATTAATATTAATTATTTTGGATGATAATCCTTCATTAGTAAAACTAGTGATAAATACTTTCCTTACACAAATGAATATTGTGATTCTATTTTCTAGACCGATATAAAGTAAGGACAAAGTCAAATGCTTCCTCATAAACTTCAAGGATCGATTGGAAAGGAACGAAGATAAGATTGATATCTCTCCATTAACTTCATCAATCATCGAACTAGACGGTAGATGTGTGTCCCTGGACACAAAGAAAAAATGTCAATTCATATACTTTTTAAATTCGCTTGTTTTTGCATAGTAAACGATTTTTTTTCTTCTGAAAAAGAAATTGAATTAACAAAAATATTCTTTGCTTTTTATTCGATAAAAAAAGATTATTTACACCGATTAATGATCCGTAAAATTCTAAATACAGCAAACAAAACGAGAAAAAACTATACAGATGCTTGCCGATGAATACACGATGCTTGCCTGTATTTTTTTAATAAACTTGCAGCACATGCAACAGCACCACCATGTAGAAAACGAACTAGTGTGTCTCCAGCCAATGCGCCCAATGCATAAATATTCTCGAAATCTATGCATTCATAAGTATATGGATTTAAATGCATACCATGAGTATTTTTCTTTGCTACCGACGTAAGAAAAGGAACCTTCATTTCATTGCCAGTAAGTCTAACAACGAACGAAATATTATAATCTCGAATAGTTTGTGTTCGATGATTTCGTATATGTGCTGTGCCACCTTGTGTAATGGAAATAACTTCACTTTGTGAACAACATTGATAGAACCATTCGGATAACTAAAACAAGAGAGAGAGAGAGTACAAAAATTCGAACAAGTTCTTTTCATCTACCATGGCTGTTGTTGTCGATGATTGCTTCATTAACTCTTTGATGCGTTCGAATTCCGGATAGATATTATCTACTAATTGATTAGTAGCAAGTTCATGGTCATCGACAGCACGACGGAAAACATGTAAAACAGGCACGGAATACTGTTGACACAGGAGAATAACATCGATAGCTGCTAGGCCACATCCAATCACAAGTAATGGTTTGCTATATTTAGTTAAACATTTTTTATTAATAATAATTTCTTCAATATTTAATAAACTTGTGTAAGTAAACGATTGACTTTCTTGTTCACCAATAATACCTAATGGTCGTGTTATATGGTGTGAAATGCCCGTTGCTAAAACAACATATTTAGCATGCATAACAAATGGAGCTTTAGTTTGTTCTTCAAAACCACGTATTTCCCATAGTGTTTCAGGCGTACGAATTTCTTTTATTAGATCATCGTAATAAGGTGCATCAGACCAGACGCGTTGAACCGATGTTACCTCACAATTATTACGAAAGCAATTTGTTAAACGATTTCTTTTTACATAATGTATATAATAGGAACGAACTTCTTCATAAGTCGCTCGGATCGAATTTTGATCATTCGTCACTGTTGCTTGTTTTTTTTCAGTTGACGAACGTGTCCGATGTATTCGACGATGTTGTCGAAATGTAGTTATAGAATAGTTAGGTAATTCCATCCAATGGGCTATGCTAACTGTTTGTAAATGTTTCGATGTTAATTGATGCCAAACTCCACCGATTCCACCTCGACCAATACATAGATGATCAATGCTTAGCGACGAATCATGGCGCCATTTTATTTTCGATTGTAGATGTGCACCGAGATCAGCATCCGGATGGATTAAATTATCGATAAGTAAAGAAACAGGATTTCGTGAACGACCTTCCAGGCCATCGGATAAAAATTCTAAATCCTAGAAAAATCAAAAAGGAAATCTCATGAGACTATTTAAACAAATACAGTATGCAGAATTTTGATGTTTTTTAAAAGAACAGACTTAATAACCTGTTCGAGTAGTGAACTATCCTTGACATATTGTTCTAGTTTAATGTTGAGATAATCATTTGATACGGGACAGCCATTCCAATAAGGTGTATGCCCAGAGAGAATATATGAAAGTACAATAGCAGATGGACCATTCCCTGAAAAAACAAATGTTGCACTTTTCTTAATTTACTATCAATGATCAATAAATACACACCAATAATAACTATTTCTTTGCGTTCACAGCGGCCCGGACAACATTTATCAATCGCATTAACATCCATTAACTACAGCTGTCGATTTTGTGCTGTGGCAAAACAAAAAATATTTTGACTCCGATTTGTAGTTGATTATAGTAGAACGAAAGACACAAATAAAAGAACATGCTTCGTCGTTCCTCAAATATATATTTATATATCTTCATCTTTATATTCTTCTCTCTCTCTCTTATTTCTCGTCGTTTATTTCGTATTGGCATTTGAGAAAAAAGAATCATTTTTTTCTCATCAAAGACAAAAAACAGAGTTACAATCTTGCTTCTGTCTTTACAAACAACTATAAAAATGTTTAACTAATATTTATCAATCATAAATAAGTATCGTTATTTTTATTGTTGCACTATTCAAACATCGAAAAACTATGATTGATTGATTATAGATTAGAAACACAAAAAATACAATACTTATTAAATCCTTTTTTGTTCCCGTATTGGTTGACTTATAACCGTAGAATAATTTTATCAATTGTACCTGTGCCCAGTCCTCCCCTCGAGAATAAAAAGCATAGCGCAAAGAGCAACATACATACATAAAGATTGCCTTTGTAAATTTGAGAATGGTTAATGACAAATCATTCATCTATTTAATAGACTGCATGTGTTTCTATAGTAAAAGATTTGTTTTTTGTAAATTGGCTGACGCTTTGGCCAAAGTCGAGTTTCTTTTTGTCTCAATCATTTCTCGAAAATAGGAGAATACGCTTAAACAACTACTCATCGATACTTTTTGTACACAGATCATCATTTAGACAGGTGAAAAAGCATTTTACCGTTTAATCCTTTGTGCTCTTTACACAAACATAAGTAATTTTGCTAAAATCTTCACGCGTTTTATTCGGTTGAATTTCAAAAGAACAAAAACAAAACGGCGAGGAAAAATTTTGATACTATCGACAAATATAGGGACAAGGAAAAAAGTGAACTATATACAATTTTACGAACAAATTTATAATATGTAATCCATATGCACAAAAAAAAGTATAAAGTTGAAATACTGTGTTGTCGTTTTTGATCACCGCAGATACGGACAATATACAAATAGTTAGATAATATATATATATAAATATGCGATTTCACTTTGTTTGCATATTATTGCAAGCAACAGCGGCCGCTGCTGCTAATAACAAATCATCATCTTCGTCGTTCATTTGAATATTTTTATCTACAGATGGACAAATATGATCAAGTTCAAATATAGTTGTTTGATTTGGAGGGTTCTGCTCAGCTAATTTTTGTAAAGAATCAAATGAAAATGGTGAAATTTCAAGTGACAAATTTGTTTTATCATCGTCGGAGGATGTTGATGAATTGGTTAAATTAGTATCAGTAGATTTCTTACGATTACGAGAAGTATCAGCTAATGTAAAAGAAAAAAAACAAATAAAAGAATATTAAATCATTGATTTTATATCTACCTAGTCTACTTGAATATTGAGGTTTTGGTGGATCTTGTTTGATATCAATATGAAATTGATCTCCATCATGAATATTATACCTAAAAATTGAATAGAAAATCATTTTCTATAGGTTAGACAGTAGCAAAACAACGAAAAACTCTTTCGTAAGATTAATAATAAGCATAGAATTGAATTTTATCATATCATATTTCTAATGATAACGTAAGGAAATTTGGTATTTCATCAATTGATAAATAATGTTACGGTGAGGTTCGACGACAAATAATTTTATCGAAAAACAAAACGAACACAAGCTTCATTTTTTAAAACTGCGCAGTAGATAAATTCGATTTACCATTAGGATACGTTGGAACACTCGACTTTCTTGAACTCATGATTAAGAAACAGTAATTTACTCAGAACACGAGAAAAATAGATCCCTAAGCAAATCTATGACCACATGTGAAACAACTGATATAATCAGGAATTCTTTTAAATTAATTTTTTCCCTTCAGAATAGTCGAGTCACTCAATGATCTCTTTCGTGATGTTTCATTTTTTTGAAAGCTGTTCTAATTGAGTAAATGTATATGATGAAGTTCCATTAATAGTAGAAATGTTCAATTCAGATAAAACAGAAACCTGATTGTAATCAGCAGAAGAGAATGAAAGATTTTTGTACGACAAAAAATATTATTCACCATCTAAATTTCTCATAGCTTGTTCAAAGTTTTCGAGAAAAATAAAAATGTTGTTCTTTCTAAACCTAAGTAAGTATTTGCAAAATTTTTAGGGCACGAAATAACGACGATTTTTCATTTTCTTTTCTAATTTCTTAATGATTATCTTGAACTCTACTAAAACATACGTGTGTAGTAATCTTTGTGGATATTTGAGTTCTTCAGGTCCACAAATACCCATATTAAAAGCAACATCGTCTATGTGAAAAATTCGTATACGTGTTAATGGTATGTGAAACATTTCATGAAGATATTTTTTAAATTGTTGCACCGTTTGTCGAACATCAATTTCTTTGTCGTGTGTGATTTGATTATGAACAAGTCGAACATTGATTAAATAAGGTGCACGAATTTTAATATCAACCAAGGGTTTAAGATTACCATGTTTTTCCGTTAATTCAAAATATCTATAGAAAGAAAAAACGAAATTCGTCATACCGAAAAAAACAAAAAGTTTCAGATTTTACCTTTGTGGTTTATCGTCCTGTTGTGAATAGAAACGAATAAATCTTCGTTCGCTAGTTTCTCTTTCATTTGCTGTTATTACACTTCCATTTAATTTCGTTAAATGCTTCATATAACCGAGTAATAGAAAAAAGCGTTCATCTTTTTGATAAGGCTTAAGAAGCGGTGCCATATGAATTCTTAGCGCAATTAAACGAGGCAGTTTAGTCAATGCAATAATATCGTCCCATTCTGATACTTGGACTTTATCAACACTAAGTGTATGTAAGTATGGTAAACATATAGTAACATCGTCATCCGAACGAAAGCTTTTTAAAGGATTATCACTAGCTATGAAAGTTTCCAGACGTGTGAATAAACGACCAAGATAACATATTGATGACCAATCGGTTAGATTATTATTTGATATATAAAGACGTTTAAGAGTGCCATGTTGAAATCCATAATCCGATGATATTTCTGTATAATCATTTGAACAGATTTGAAGTTCTTCCAAACTAAAATGCAAAATAGAATACAAAAATTCTCTAACTCTTTATTTCAAGACAAGTTCATTCTATGGTTGTCCAATATTTATGTAGAATGTCAAAGTATTACAAAGCGTGTCATAAAAATAGCTATGGGCAAGATGGTTCCGCTTCCGTCGGGACTAGAATCAAACGCACGACTGTTTTCATCGCTCGTGTTCAATTGCAAACTGACATTTTCAAACTACGCGCCTCTTATCTTTGACATCTAAAGTTCTACGCTCGACAAATTTTGCCTCGACTAAACGCGTATACCAATAGTTCTTTATTTAGAAATAATTTTAAAAAAATACTTTATTTTCTGTAATAATTTGAAATGACTCATTTTGAATCATATATTGTGACTCATAATTACGCTACACAAAGAAAAAGTCTTTGAAAAAAGTAATATTTATCTGTTTTCTATTTTCTTTGATACATAATCTAAATAAATCAATATACGCTTACTTGGGTGTCTTCTTAAGTAATTCAACAATCATTTCCATACCAATATGACTTCCATTAAGACATAGAGTATTAAGATTGGGCCATTGTAATTCCACTGGTAATATATGTAAATCAGAAGGGAATGGATTGAAGCTTAAATTGATTGTTTTTACATGCGGTAACGATGAAAGCAGAAGTGATATCTAAATGATGGCATAGAAAATAAATTCCGAAAACAAAACAGAATTTACTTCATGCCAATCCGAAAACGCATTGGATGATATATCAATAAGTTCAACATGAAAACACGATATTGTTACAGCATGAGGATCGCCCACATGAGATATACGTTCATCGGTTAAAACAACAGTAGATGCATTTAGAATAAGACCCGACTCTTAAAATTAGAAAAAAAATTAGAAATCGAATTAAATTTTTCTTTTGCTATTCGAACCTGTTTTTTTTGGCGATGAACCAACAAAAAATACGATATCACAATCATTTTTTAGGTCGTCCAATGTCGAATCAAAATCACAGTAGCGTTCATAAAGAGCATCCGAAAATGATCGACCTAATACTTCAGTAGCAGCCATATTTATATATCAATCTATAATAACTAGTAATAGACGTTTTGCTTATGTTGTCGATGTCTCCTGTCCTTGTTATTCTCACTTATACTCGTTCTATTATCCGCTCCCAATAACATCAAGAGGAGAAGAAGAAGAAAAAAAGACAAGGTCGCATTTTTTCTCTTTCGTCGTTCTCATACATCAATCATCAAATATTCTTCTGTGACGTACAAACTTGTCAGCTGACTAACGCCTCGTGTTAAGAATTGCGACCGCAAAATATTATGAAAGATTTAGCTCTAGTCTACTCATGTGAGTTTATTATTACATAGAAACAACGACAAAAAATTGATTAAAAATGAACTTAATGATATATATGCATTCTCTAGGATCAAATAAAAAAAGAAATTCATTATCATAGATAGAGTAGAAGCGAAAGATTCGTTAATGATTCAGTTCGATGCATCACCCTTTCTATATGCATTAGCCCTTCAGCAATCTTACGAACCACTCTACCGATTGTCCGTTCTTTTATTATTTTTTTCTTGCATTCTTCTGCCACTGACTCACTTAGCCGAGCTAGCAAGTTAGTTAGTTGTGCAATCTCATTTTTTTTTGTTCTTCTCTTCTTATCCTGAACATGCAAATATTAATGCGCTACATGTAATACTTACTTTTTTTTCCAATGGACTCGTTACTACCGGCGTACAAGTAATCTATCCGTCGTTAGATTCATAAACAAAATAGCACAAGTAGTTACATACGATATCTATCAATCACATCAGATAGATTCATCTCCAAATATATATTTTCTATTAAAGATAAGAACGATTTATGAAATCATGAATAATTAAAGAAATGATAAAAGAAAAAACAAGAGACTACTTCAATCTAATTGGAATTATTAAGAGCGTATAGAATGTAACATTTAATAATTGATTTATTTCTGCAATACACAATAGGAAATGTTATGATTACAATAGAACTATACTTCCATCATTGGATTCGTACTAGAAGTTACATTTGATAATAATACGAACGATTCCGTGATTTAGCAAGAAAGACGATATCACTTTGTTTTTCCTTTGATCATATACGGAAAAATAGCTATGATGATAGAAAGCTCGATTACGCAGATCTTGATCTTTGAATTAATCTTGTATATGATATCTGAGATGTCAGCGTTGATGCGTTTTCAGGAAACAAAACAACAAATAATAAGTAAAACAAAAATATATTCGTTCCTGTACATGGCTTGTTTGAATAGCACAATGTCCACACGATCAGTCGAATATACGTCTATTGATTAACTGTATTCTTATTATTCAAAACACATCCGTGTCTAGTCAAACATGATTGAATTTTAACTAAACGTTTTCGCTCTTAGAATTTATATTTCACACATTTATTATTCGATTTGATAAGTTGCCTTTCATATAGTATGATTCTTACCTATGAATTTAATATTCAGCTGATAGAATACCATGTGAGCATTTATACCAAAGGACGATCAGATGATTGTTATATGAGTTTTATAGATTATTAAATTTAGCAACCAAATATAATTATTTTATTGTTTAACATATAAAAACATACATATTTGTTTTTATTATAGCGATAAATTTATTTTATTTTGAAGAAATTCCTAAAATTAAGGAGGTTCGTGAACAACTATAATGGTGAAAAATTCAGCCAATCATATAACACACGCGTTTCATGTCCTGCGAAAGAAAAACTTTATTGAATTTTCAAAACTAATAAAAATGACTCAACGCATAACACCTCTTTCACGTCAAACATCAATCCTTTTAGTATGTGATTTGCAAGAAAAATTTCGTCCAGTAATAAAATATTTCACTCAAATTGTTGAAACATCAAATAAATTATTACAAGCTTGTAAACTTCTCGATGTACCTTTTGTTGTAACAGAACAATATCCAAAAGGTAACAGGATATCAAATGTTGACAAAATTCTAGATTGATTTCGAATAGGTCTTGGTCGAACAGTATCCGAATTGGATATTGGTGATACGAAACCTTTTGAAAAAACGCTCTTTTCAATGTGTACACCCGATGTGATGTTCAACATCAAGGAACAAGTTAAAGGTACGATCAATCGCATATTCCTCTTGTATAACTAGATAAAATATTCATCGATCTGATTAATTTATAGTGAAATTTCTTTTAAAAATAATTAACAATTTTCTTATTGAGATGTCTGCACGATGAGAGACTTCTATCCCTCAACGAAGAAGAATTTCTATCATTAAGAACAATTTGTTTTTCTATATAGATTTTAATACTGCTATTATTTGTGGTATTGAAGCTCATGTTTGTGTATTGCAAACAACTATTGATCTACTATCACAAGGCTATCGTGTGTATGTTGTTGTTGATGCTGTTTCTTGTCGATCGCTAACTGATAGGTATTTATATGAATTAATTTTCTCAAATGAAATTAAACAACGATGCTTTAGAATTTATGCATTTGATCATCTACGTCAAGCGGGCGCTTTTTTAACAACATTCGAATCCATTGTTCTTCAACTTGCACAAGATGCTAATCATCCAAATTTTAAACAAATCCAACAACTGATTAAAACATCTGCGGCTGACACAGGACTTCTTCCATCACATAATATGCCAAATTCATCGTTATAAATTGAAACAATTTTTTTTATAATTTAATAAAAAGATAGGCGATTATGTATATGTACGTACCACTATGTCGCTTTCAAAACATTGTATTCCATACAAAGAACTCATCGGTATCGTCAGTAGGGGTGTTACTTTATATTTACATTATGACATAAATATAAATAAAATGTTTATATTTGTAAAATAGAGATAAATATTTTATTAATATTTAAAAAATAAAGATAAATGAAATCTTTATATTTATAAAGTGACGATAAATGAAATATTTATGTTTATAAAATAAAGATAAATAAATCAGATAATTCGAAAAAATAAATATAATCTAAATATAAAGTTAGCAATTTTTCTATGAGCGAAAAAGGAACAAATTTCTGGTGTAACAAGAGGGGAGACTGATTGCAATTGCCCAGGTGAATGAGTCCGACAGCGAATCCTGTCGGATCTCATGGGATCCAGCAAGCCGGCAAAATCCGATCAGACTCCTGGCCACGAACCTACTAATGGATCCGACAGAAAAAAGCATTTTTTTAATCACCAATGAATGAGCATATGGTGCCAACAGAACACCTGGATCGAATGCTTATGTTGGATTCCGTTGAATTCCGACATTGGAATCTATCGGATTCCAACACTAGGGTTTCGATTGTCGGTCCCACACCCGGATACCGACAGGATTTCGTCGGTTTAATGAAATCCACACTATATACGATAAGATTCCGACATGAATCCGATAGGATCCCACTGTCGGAATCATTCGCCTGGGTGTATGGTACGAAATATTTTCGTCGATTACAAATTCAATGTATAGAATGAGGAGATTAAAAATGACTACAAGCTAATTATGTTGTTCTTTTTTTTGTAATAATCTTATATAATTCAA